TTTAACTAATAATGATTGGTTTAAAATAGTTGAAATTGATGTCTCTAATTTAGGTTATGGAGGAATCTTAAAACAAATCGACCCTGTTACTAAAAAAGAACAGTTAATTAGATTTACCTCTGGAAAATGGGATAAAGCCCAATTTAATTATTCAACTATTAAAAAAAATGCTTTCTATTATTAAATGCATTTCTAAATTTAGAGATAATATTCTAAACCAAGAATTTTTATTACGCATTGATTGTAGCTCTGCTAAAAGCGTTTTAGAAAAGGACGTGAACTTGCTATGTATGAATTTAAAATTGAATATATTAAAGATAGTAATAACTACTTACCCGATTTTCTTACTCGTGAATTTTTACAGGGTACCCATGAAGCGGAATAATCCCTCTTTCAGGGGGGAAAGGCAGAGGTAATTCACCTCAACACAGTCAAAGGGCTTATAGTCCTAATGAATTTTTTAAAAGTTCGAATCCTGAATCCAGTTCATGGAGAACTATGGCAAAAAAGAATTATTCAGGAAGTCAGGCTAAAAGCCCAGCCTTTTATAAAGACCTAGTGAATGACCTTATAAATGAAGTAAGTCAGGAAAATAATCCTGAGCCTTTCTCGGCAATAATAAAACAAGAAGTCAATTGAACACCTAAAAGGTGGTCAGAGACAGTTATATATTTAGAACCAGAAGATGTTTCTTCAATACAAGATATTAAAAATATCAGAACAAGATACTTGAATGATAATTATTACCCAACGTTGTCATTAAAATCCAGATCTTGGATGAGAACTTTGATTATGCAAAAAGGAATGGAAATAACCCATTTCTGGGGATCTGAAAATAGAACTATCCCTCCTAATTTCAGTAAATACATCATCAAAGAGGTTATTTTACCTCGAAAGTGGGCTCTAAACCCAAACCAATACTTACCTCTGTTTAAAGCCCAGAATTCAAAAGAAATTTATTCTTTTAATTATTGGGATTATAAGCAGACATTTTATAATATATTTTTATATCAAAATCCCAGGAATAAGCATACATGGCTGATAAAACTTTGTCTAGAAGCCCTTAAAAAGGGGATTCCTTCATGGTTTTACAATTGGTGGACAATCTATGATGCTGAATTAAGCATCTTACCTGAACCCATAAGCAAATTATATTCAGCTTGGGTAGAGTCTTATCCTCTCATTTCAAAAATGGAAGACAATAATATTGTCGAAAGCTTATGTGTTGTTTACTTCTTCTCTGAAACAGAGATTTCATGGATATGGACATGGACCTTTGAGTCTGATTGGGATAATTTACATCTACCTATTCTAAAAAGAAATCACTATTGTAGATGGTGGAATGGAATCATTATTGACGAAAATATCAAATTAATTAAAGAAATTATAGAGAGAAACAATAGTGTTCTCGAAAATTCTATGTCTCAAGAGATTCAAAAGGTTAACCCTATGATGCAGTTAGCCAAAATGATTAGACGGAAATACCCGTAAGCTTCTGAAACAGAAATTCAACAAAAATGTCTTGATCATATGAAAAGACAGTTTTTTGAAGTATTTGATAATATGGAGACACAAACCAGTAAGAGCCTTGATAGTTGTGGTGAAGACAGCACTTTACCAGACGCACAAGGAGAAGATGAAGAAGAAGATATTTGGAAAGCTGCTATGAGAATACTGAATCAGGTTCCACTATTGGACCTAAAAGGAAAAGGAAAAGAAAAATAAATAGGTCATTATGAGTTGAGCCTCGGGGAGCCATTCATCAGAATTCAGTACTTCTTAAAGAAGCTTTTTCAAAAGCAAAGCTTTAATAAAGCTACTTTTGAAAAGAAGATTCATTGTCAGTACATTGCCAATTTTCTTTTGTTAGTGCTTTGCCAGGTGTCCTCTTAAAATATGTATCTTTTATTCTCTTCTAAAGTATATAAGGAGAGGAGTAGCTTGTTGTAAGGTGTGCTCTTTCAGTTAAGTTTTATTTTCTTAGTCCAGTGTGAGTTTGGAGTGTGAAGTATTTTCTCTTGTAAGATCTATCAGTATAAATAAGATTGAAGACGATATTATCTTAAGAGTGGGTAACCGAACTCTGTAAGATTTTGCTTTAATTTGTTTTAATTTTATGCATTAGAATCTTAAGAGTGGGTTTTACACTACGCGACTTTGGTGACGTTCCATAGACTTTTAAAAACTTAGTTCATAAACAAAGAAATGAAAGAACATATAATAAAATTATATTCTTATAAACAAGTCTACACAAATAAATCGTAAGAAGAAAATTAGCCTAGCATGTCTCTGATACCAAATCTAATGCATAAAATTAAAACAAATTAAAGCAAAAACTTACAGAGTTCGGCTACCCACTCTTAAGATAATATCGTCTTCAATCTTATTTATACTGATAGATCTTACAAGAGAAAATACTTCTACCCACTCTTAAGATAATATCGTCTTCAATCTTATTTATACTGATAGATCTTACAAGAGAAAATACTTCACACTCCAAACTCACATTGGACTTAGAAAATAAAACTTAACTGAAAGAGCACACCTTACAACAAGCTACTCCTCTCCTTATATAGTTTAGAAGAGAATAAAAGATACATATTTTAAGAGGACATCTGGCAAAGCACTGACAAAAGGAAATTGGCAATGTACTGACAAGGAATCTTCTTTTCAAAAGTAGCTTTATTAAAGCTTTGCTTTTGAAAAAGCTTCTTTAAGAAGTACTGAATTCTGATGAGTGGCTCCCCGAGGCTCAACTCATAATGACCTATTTACTTTTCTTTTCCTTTTCCTTTTAGGTTTGATGGTGGAATCTGATTCAGTATTCCCATAGCAGCTTTCCAAATATCTTCTTCTTCATTTTCTCCTTGTGCGTCTGGTAAAGTGTTGTCTTCACCACAACTATCAAGGCTCTTACTGGATTGTGTCTCCATATTATCAAATACTTCAAAAAACTATCTTTTCATATGATCAAGACATTTTTGCTGAATTTCTGTTTCAGAAGCTTGCGGGTATTTCCGCCTAATTATTTTGACTAACTGAATCATAGGGTTAACCTTTTGAATCTCTTGATACAGAGAATTTTTGAGAACACTATTGTTCCTCTCTATAATTTCTTCAATTAATTTGACATTTTCGTCAATAATGATTCCATTCCACCATCTACAATAGTGATTTCTTTTTAGAATAGGTAGATGTAAATTATCCCAATCAGACTCAAAGGTCCATGTCCATATCCATGGAATCTCTGTTTCAGAGAAGAAGTAAACAGCACATAAGCCTTCGACAATATTATTGTCTTTTATTTTTAAAATGAGAGGATGAGACTCTACCCAAGCTGAATATAAATTGTTTACGGGTTCAGGTAAGATGCTTAATTCAGCATCATAGATTGTTCACCAATTGTAAAACCATGAAGGAATCCCTTTTTAAGGGCTTTTGGACAAAGTTTTATCAGCCAGGTATGCTTATTCTTAGGATTTTGATATAAAAATATATTATAAAATACCTGCTTATAATCCCAATAATTAAAAGAATAAATTTCTTTTGAATTCTGGGCTTTAACCAGAGGTAAGTCTTGGTTTGGGTTTAGAGCCTACTTTCGAGGTAAAATAACCTTTGATGATGTATTTACTGAAATTAGTAGGGTTAGTTCTATTTTCAAATCCCCAGAAATGGGTTATTTCCATTCCTTTTTGCATAATCAAAGTTCTCATCCAAGATCTGGATTTTAATGACAACGTTGGGTAATAATTATCATTCAAGTATCTTGTTCTGATATTTTCAATATCTTGCATTGAAGAAACATCTTCTGGTTCTAAATATAGAATTGTCTCTGACCACCTTTTAGGTGTCCAATTGGCTTCTTGTTTTACTATTGCCGAGAAAGGCTCAGGATTATTTTCCTGACTTACTTCATTTATAAGGTCATTCACTAGGCCTTTATAAAAGGTTGGACTTTTAGCCTGACTTTCTGAATAATTTTTTTTTGCCACAGTTCTCCATGAACTGGATTCAGGATTCGAACTTTTAAAAAATTCATTAGGACTATAAGCCCTTTGACTGTTTTATTATATTTAATTTCTAATTGAGAAATAAGCTCACTCCTTAAACCCAAACTCAAAGCTAAGCAGGTCGTTTAAATGGCCCACCCAACTATTTTAAAAAACAAAAGTAACCCAAACCCAAACAGGTCAAACCCAAACCCAGACCCAAACCCAAACCCTAGATCCCTCTTAACAAAACAGGCCAAACTCAAACCCTAGATCCCTCTAACAAAAAGGAAAAAAAAAACCCTACATCCCAAACGCAGACCCAAACGCCACCACGAGACATTGGCTCCTCTCTCCTCTCTCCTCCTTCAGATCACTCCAAGGAGATCGGTTCCTCTCTCCCTCCTCTCTCCTCCTTCGGATCTGTGACTCCAAGTTGATTCTAGGGCTCGGGGTTCACTGTTCTCCCTCGAAGCTGGTTGCTCGTCGTCCCTCGAATCTCGTCGCCCCTCGAATCTCGTTGCCCCTCGAATCTCGTTGCCGACTCCTCCCTCGAATCTCGTCGCCGGCTCCTCCCTCGAAGCTCGTCATCCCTTGAAGCTCGCCATCCCTCGAAGATCGTCGTTTACTCCTCCCTCGACTGTCTTCCCTCCTTCAAGTTTGTAATCCCCCCCTACTCTTGAAATCGCCGTGTCCCTGCCGTTTGGGTGCGGATCCGCACCCAAAACGTACCCGACACGGGTACGGGACCAATTTGACTGTCGGGGTAACATAGCTCGTTCTCAGTCCTAAACATAGGTAAATACGTCATTCTGTTGATGGTAAAGTGGGAATATTTCTGGCGAAGACCATCATGGGAACTCAATAGGCTGGAAATAAAACTAAAGCGCTTAACGAGTAAAAATTTTAGGTTAACATTGAGCTCTTTATTTTGAATTTTTGTTTGATGAGGAATGGGAATAGATAGGAATAGATAGTAATAGGATGAGAAAACATCAACCTTGCATTGCACTTTTTCCAAATTGAAAAAGTAACTAGGTATTAGCGATAACTTTCAGAATTGACGGAGGAGGTTCTCAAATCTTAGTTGGACATCATAACTTTAAAAAGGCTATGAGAGGCTAAGTGCCTGAGATGCCTGTAGCTTCCGAAGCAAATGCTTAGCCTGTGCAATGGCCTAACATATGCATCTTGAACTTCGGACCGCTTAACCACCTGCTAGGCAGAGACCTTAAGAGGGAAGAGGGCAGTCAGTTTATAACAGAGTTTTTTTAAAAGCATTGATACTCCTCTTGGGCTTTTTAAACTGAATTAGCTCCTTGACTAGTTGATAGTGAGTAGTAAATATCAATGAATATACATAACCATGACTGTACCTAGTCACAGTTTACTTTGCTGATACCTTTTTTTTCTGTAACTTCTTTTCAGCAAATAGACATCATATCCACTATTCCTGCAAAAATGTGCCTTGATTGTTTCTTAAAGAATTAATATCTTCTTGTTGGAAGCAATTAAGAAAGATATTATAATATTTACTGGAGAACCCAAAGTAGAACCGAGCATGTAGCCAAATCCCAAAAACTTGGTAAAAAAGGCTTTTTTCCCCTCAGTAATTTATCAAGTATGAAGTCGTCTATAGTGTCATCACCGAAGCATTCATTTGTTGTTGTCAATGTTTTCAATGTCCATATTTTGAAGATATTCCCATAGCTGAATCTTTCAGTTTTTATTATATTTTATCAGGAAGACATGACTTTTAGTATTTTTCTCTGGTCTGATTATGCTTTATTATCACTCTGGTTTTGATTCTTTTTTTTAAATAATTATTGGATTTAATAATTTTCTTTGAATATTCTTCTAATTTTATATTTTACTGACCATAGTTTACTGACTACAGTCTCTGATTATAAACATCACTAAGATCATGGAAATTATGTATCAGTAGAAATGTGAAACCGAACCATTCATGAAATGCCTTTTTCAGTATGTTAATGATATGAGGCTATTGAGTCAATCGAATCAACTATTGACCATGTCCCCATGAATACCACAAAATCCCTGAGAAAAATAACCAATAAACTAAATGAGTGCCAGGAAAAATTCTCCCGAAGCCAACAAACTATATTATGAATTTTCAGTTGACTTTTGAGAAATAAAGATTAAAATTTTGCAAAGTTAAAAAAGAACTATATACTTAGTATCACACAACTAATTAATTCAATATAGCCACATGAAAAAACATGCTAGAGAAGAGAAATCACCAATTCATTATCCAGCATCAAGGAAGTGACCAATAATTCTCTACGCATTCTTCCTTCGAGCAACTCTAACTTGGAGAATGAGATGCACCTCCCTCTTAAATATGGATCTCAACTCCTCATTGGCTTCAATGCCTATTCTCCTGATACATAAAAGCATGCATATGGAAAGGGAAAAACTCATCAAATTTAAGAACAAATTTTTAATTGATCTTAATAAGACCAGGAATACATAATGGCAAAAGAAAAGTCAAAATAACATTGAACAAAAATGAAAAAGAAAAGTAGCAAAGATAATAACGTTTGATAAATAACAGATTTTAAGTCCCTAAAAGAAAATAATCATAAATAGATAATGACAAAATAAATGTTTATTCAAATCAGAGCACTTTGTCTTCATCCACAGGAAATCACAAAAAAAAAGTAGGAGAGTACCCAATCTTTGAGCCATTTTTTCCTACGAGAATCTGGCGTTGGCTTTGTTTTGGAGCGATAAAATGTTGTTCCACTCTAAGAGAACCATCTCTGAGCTCCTTCCAGTCCATCAACCGATGGTCAATAACATATGGAATCTCCTGAAACAAATGGAAACTTATCTTGAATCCTTTTGTGTAGGAAGGAAACATGTTTTGTCTGCTATCACTACTACCTGATGAATATGATCTAACATTTTCTCTCGAACCACCTCCAATGCAATAGTTTTCATAATTTCTTCACTCATGATGGTGGGATCTTCATCCCAAGGTCTTTTAACTGCCTATACACCAAAAAAAAAGAGTTCCAAGTTACATGCATAAACAATAAACTAAACAATCAAACATAACCACGAAAAATAAAATATAATCAAAAGCATAATTTCAGCTTCAAAACAATTACTTCCCCAGCAATCCTTCAGACAATAAGTCAAATAATGTATTGTAGTATAGTAGAAATAGAATATTAGATCATAGTAGATACAAATAAAATTTTTAAAAAACATATGCTTTAACATTAATTAGAATGTGCTTTCATATCTAAGGCAAACATCATCACAAAGGCTCGTTTTTTATGTTTAGAAAAGGTTCTTCAAGATACTTCCTCGAAACCTTGATATTGACACATTCGGTATTTCTTTAAGGGGTTTTCCCTAGTAACCCCCTTATACCTAGAGTCAATTTACGTAAATCACATTAAATTTCCAATTCCTACCTAAACCACTTAGAAAGTTAGTTTTTCTTCCAATTAACCACCTGATCTCACTTTTCTGCTTAAATTTCTCTAAAATCCCAAATAATACCCTCACTTAATCTCACATGTAAAGCACGTGACCTCTCTTGTTGATTCTTTGAAAGTTTTCTGCGTGAGATTAAGTGGGGCTATTGTTAGAATTTCAGGAAAATTTTAGCATCAAATTGAGGTCAAGTGGTTGATCGGAGAAAAACTAACTTTGTAGGTGGTTTAGGTATAAACTATAAATATAAGGTGATCTATGTAAATTAACCCTAAATATAAGGTGGTTTCCATGAAAAAGCCTATTCTTTAGTGGTAATCCTACTCACTGATATATTTGTTGTAGCTAGATCTTCACTATTCTTATATCAGATATTGACTACATGCCAAACCATGACCACCAATAAATGGAATGGATCCCTTAACTTCATCTAGTGGATCTAGGTTTAGTATAAATATGCTGGAAGAGTCATTTACACAGCTTCCTCTTGCACAATATCAACTTAAAATGTGTCTACGACTAATCAACCATTTCCTAAAGTAAACAGTATTTTTATCCGGTACCAAATAAATGTATAACAACATATCACTCCCATCAAAGGTAAATCCTCTTCAGCTGTCTTTTTGCCAGAATATCATTCCACCAACAAGGGGCAACTATTGGCCTGATGCTTCATGTAAAGGATAAAAGTTATGCTTTGATTAAAAATGAGGCACAAAAAACAAAACAGCCCTCACTTGCTTGTATTGACCCTCGAAAACATTCAATTGCCATATCACTGATGTTGCCTCAATATTCTTGTCATCTATAACCATGAAGCTTTTCCCCAGGATCATTGGCCAATTCACTGCCATGCTTTCAGCAAAGTTGAGCCTCATGGCCCCCCATCTAGGCCCACTCTTCCAGCCAAATTTGTTTACAAAACGTTGATTTGTTTTTCCTCTTCCCACTTATAATATATAGAGGTCGACTGTATTGAAAATTTGAAACAAAGATTTGAATTTTATGAATTGAAAGCAGATTTTGTAAGAGATAGGGTACAGGGGCACAAATATATATATATATATTCTTTCAACATATTCAATCTCCCAAATGAAATAAGCCCCTTCGAACCATGTCCTTTAAAAGAGGGGAAAACAAATCAAACTTTTCCAAAGGTACCTTGTACTACCTCTGCTGTTACTTTTACCAAAAAATAACAAAATCTAGTGAAGTACCATAGTCAAACAGCTCCAACTTTACCCCCATGTGGTACATGATGCCATCATCCACTTAAACAATTTAAAAACTTAAGAAAAGGGGGTGAGAGAGAAGAGTGTGTGTGTGTGAGAGAGAGAGAGAGAGATACCCCATGTGATACATGATGTCATGTTCCACTAAAACAATAAAAATTAAGAAAAGATGGGGAGAGAGAGAGAGAGCAAAGAGAGATTCTTCATCACTTTCCTTGGCTTCAAACATTTGAAAGACATGGCCAATTTTCTAGGAAACATAGAGAAAACCATGGTCAATGAACGTTGCTCGTATCCACGCCATTTGGGTGCCGATACGTACCCGAAACATGTTGGACACAGGTACGGCCCCCTACTAGCCATGTAGGGATATCCTAGCTTGAGGCATAGACTCTCGTGCAACTATGCCTCAACCTGAGATCCCTCCTAGAGTATTCATAATGAGTACAACTTGATGCAAGGTCGTGCTCACAATGTTCCTTGGGGTTCTAGCAGTAGAAGTGTTTACTTTCTTTAGTCTACACGTTCCACCAAATCCTCTTCTTAACCATGTCCTACGGCCGACTCTAATAACTCCATTAAACTTAGATACATCATCCCTCTCTAAATGAAAATACATAAATGCAATATGGATCATGGATATATAACTTAACATGTCTAAAGTGAAAAACAAATAACTCTCCTATCTTTTCCAAAAAAATTGTTTTTCATGATGTCGGTGATTTTGCGAGGAATTGCCTAACAAGTCGCCTGTCTCTTTCATGTTCTCTACCAAGGTGTTAAATTTTCCTTTTAGCTACAAAAATGCAAATATCTTCCAGGACCTAATAATCAGCCCTTATGACGAAAGTGTTAGCACAAAGATAGTTGTGCCTACCAATTATTGTTGCGTTACAAGATATCATTCAACTTCCCCTAAGAGTCCTAATACAAGCAACTGGAGAGTTTCCTCCTGTTTTAACCCATGACAAGCTTTCTTTTCAATGATCGAGAATGTGTTAAGAACTTCTACGAACCGGACCAAGCGCATAGGCACCTAGGCAAGAGATTTAAGCAGTACGTAGCTGTTGTTAGCATTAGGAGGAAAAGTACACTTTTTGAAGTTTCAAACTCCAATCCTCATTTTTTTACATAAGATGGACTAGGATGCATAGTTCTGATCTGATCAATTTTGACATGGCTCATTTTCTTTATTAGGTAGTGTACATAAGCGAGCAATATAGCCCTTTTTGATGCAGTGTCACCTGCGTTAAGCGGCCCATTCTCTCTTAAGCACTTTTGAGACATAGGAAGGCGGCCTAAGTACATGTTAGGCTTCGGCGGGTGCCTAGGTGGACACTCAGATTGTTATTTAAAACAATGTTTCTTTTTATGACTAGTTTCCTTTCACTTGCATTACCAGGTTTCTTGGGTATTCAAACCTTCTCAAATAACCTCTACTCTCGAAGTCATAGGATTACAGTCATTAAAAGCAATAATCAAACAGTTACTTCAGTGGAATTTAAAGGGTAATTGAAGAAAGATATGTTTTCGAGAACCTTAGCTCAGAGACGCTACTTTTCGTAATATATTGGAGATAATGATGACCATGTATATTCCAGGTTTTACTAATTAAAACCTTGTGCAATCAACAACAGTATACAAGATGCTCCACCAAAAAAGAAATATTTACTAAAATTATATGTGTATTTGAACAGAAATCAGATATCATAATATAAAGTCTGTGTGACTGGCTAACATGGTTAACTAAAGAAGTAAGATGCACACCATACAGTACTGTCAGTAATAGCCATTGCCTTTGTAAAGAAATTAACAAGGTCATAAGATAATTCTTACTAACAACTGAAATATAGGGAGTTTTAAACATCAAAATCACAACATGACTAAATAAGAAGACATACCTGCTCCATGAGATACCGAAGAAGGTCTTTTACACCAGAACCTTTTAGTCCAGATACCATGAAGAACCTACAGAACGCAAAAAACATTATACAAAATGATTGTAGCACAATTATTAAATGACCAAGGGCGCTGCTGACCTCTCAAAACCAGGAAGATCTTCAAATTCTTCAGCAACCTTTAGCAAATCTTTCTTATTCTCCACTAGATCAACTTTATTCATGCACAATAACCTCTTTTGTTCAGGGTTAACCTTTTCGCCCAGATGTTTGATTAATTTTATCACCCTACTGTCAGGCCTACACAAAGG